GTGCTGAGTTGCTGGCTGGGGCTAAACCACGACAAAGTCACAAAGCTTCTATACAGCTTATTTAATTTTAGCAAACACACTTATATCCTGGTCCTGGAGAAAAAGGAGACTGGGTTGTATGGCTTGAAATGTGTCTTGTACATATTTACCAAGATCAAACAAAACACTGATGGTTTACCAAATCATGATCTGGAAAGAAATGTTATTGAATTCCTCTTTTACCATGCCACAAATGGGCAGCAACAGATGACCTGGCATTAATTCTTTTGTAGTGTTCATGTGATATCACAAAGCATCTGAAGTCTGCTTATGTGGTTTATGATGTCACAGAATTCCTGGAAAAAATTATTTCTTTGTAAGTAACTGCAGCTCATCAGTTGTTCTATATATAACTTCCACAATAGCAACCATCTGCTGAGAGCCAGGCCACTCCCCGCCTTTTTTCCCTTCATCACATGAAATTAGTGTGAGGATGATTTCATATACATATGGTTTGAATACTGCTAACAAAGCCAAAACGAACTCTGAAAGCCACTAAAGGAACCTTTTAGTAGGCTATGAGACACTGTCCAGAAAATTTTGTTTGTTTGTTTTCAGTTTTCAAACTTTCTGAACAGCTGAACGGTGATACTCAGAAGTTGCATATGTAAGACAGCAAAAAACCAACCAAACAAAAAGGCTTATTTTTGGACTGAAGATGCTGACAAGTTGTCATTTCTGTTGCTGTGTGCTTTGCATCTACTTGTGTGGTAAAAGTAGCAAAGTGTGGGGGATTATGACTGCAATTAACATTTCATGATCACATCCCACTTAACAGTTTAAATTTTTATTGCTTTACACTTCCTGCAAGAGTTTTAATAGAGCTTTCTATATACGGGAGCTTTAAAGTAGAGTTAGAATCATATTGTAAAACGGAATATTGATGTATTCATTAAAGCTTGGTTCTACTCTGAAGAAGGACTTTATAAAAACGGCAGTTTGGGATTCTAGCCAATAACTTCCAAATCAGTTTCACTCGTTTTACATGAAAAAAGAAGTTGTGGAGAGAAAAGCAATGGAATTTCTAATGACCAGTCCAGCAGAATCTGCTTGGAATATGCAAAACCAAGTTGTGGCTAATATATAGCTATTGACAATAAAAATAGGCCAAATATTGCCCTGAGCTTTTGGAACTCAGAGTCCTGAAATTTTTTTTCTTTTATGCTTTACTTTTTTTTTTCCTCTGTTGGGGTTAAACAGGTGTGACTAAAAGCACATTTAGAAATACATGAGGTTTTGCTGCATAGTGAAACTTCAGTTTGCTTAAGAATGCTTATTCTGACGTATGATGATTTCTTCTTCTTTTGTAGCAACCTTTACTTTGTGCTTCCACAGCTAGACCTGTATTGATACTCAATCTGGCTTAGACTTGTCTGCAGTGTAGTGTGACTGATGCCATGACTATAGTGCAAAAGGTACTCAAATATGAATTCTGTTGAGGAGAATGTCCTTAAATATTTAATTCTGTTGTGGCTTTTGAACTGGAAAAATAAAATATCCAGTCCTGCTTCACAGAGCTGCAAGTAGTAAATTCATAGCTCTCCTAGTAAAATAAGTGAAGCTGGCTCTGATTATTCATAGAATCAGAATTGCTGAATAAAGTACATTTTGACAGCATATAACTTTTTCTTAGTATAACTGAATTTTAAATATGTTTGGGAGTATTTTCTTGCTTGACACCTTTCCCTGAACCTGTTTATTTTCATTTCCATGCTACAGCTCACTGCCCCTTCATTTGTTCAGCTTTGCCTCTGAAGACAGCATAGCATGTGACTGCACTCTGATGCTCATTTCACAGGATTGTGAAATGATCCTTAGAAACCAGGCAGTTAAGCAGAGCCAGTGGCTTGCCTATGTTATTCCAAAATTCCTCATCTGTATAAACTAATGATCAAAACTCTTCTCCCTTTCCCTCTGAGCTTGGCTTTATTAGGTAAAGCAGCCCAAAATAAAATAGTGCTAATGCTGTAATTTCATTACGGAATTTTCACCAACAACTACAAGCATACGCTATTCCTGCACACCACCTACTTGTTCACACGCTGTATGCTGCCATTTGCAATTATTCTAGCAGAACTGCTGTCTACAGCTGCGCAGTGACTGAATCGGGAAACTGATCCAGGTTAAATATCTATGGTTTGCAGACTTTCCCCCCCCACACACACCCCCTCTTTAAGCTGGATCAATTCCCAAAAAATAGTGCCAGCACAACTGAACTGTAAGGCTGGAAAAAAATATTGGGAAATTGAAGGGGAAACAGTTCAACCAAGAGGTATAGCTGTTCATATTATTCCTGGTAAAGCAATACTCAGCTTGCAGTCTTTCTGTTAAGAGCTGTCCTTTCTGGATTAACAGCCTGCAATGGGCAGGCTATTTTAACATCTAGAATGTTTCATACCAAAGCAGATTATGAGGGAAAAAAAAAAAAGCAATATGTTGGTATATCTAGTCTGAATCACAGATATGCCTAGATATATAATTACTCTAGAATAACAGAATAATATAGACAAGAGATTAATGTATACAATTTAACCAGGATTTTTTTATCATCTTTTTAATCAACTATATAGATTTAGTTGCTAACTTAATAATATTTATTTATTAATTTATTTCACTACCCTATTTTTCTTTAAGTCAGGTATTTATGCCCTGATAACAATGTAGTCATACTTGTTATAGTTTATAAATAAAAATAATATTTGTATGGTAAACCTATAATCTCCATATACATTCTAAAGCTTTAGCTATTTGTAAAATGAGGATAATAAAGAATTATTTTAGGTTTAAGTTTCCAACAACAGCTTGATATAAGTAAATGAAAGAGGCTTTACATGCTTAAAGATTTTTTTAAATGTGAAGAAAAGAAAGGTGCATGTGTGATGGCATGTGGTCATTTGAAATCTAAAATTAAATATCTGAGAGCTGTTTAAAATTTTCTGTTCTGCATTTCCAATATATTGGGAACATCACTAAAGTCATCCTAAAGCTGAGCATTTCTAAAAGCTGACTAAGAATTTCCGTGTGTCTAGTTAAGGAAGTACAGCAGTAGCTACTCCAAATAAATATATTTAAAGCCAAACCTTTTATGAAAACTTTGTTATGCCACATAAAATTCTGATACTGATTTTGCCAAGTTAATTTTTTTCATAAAAGTAATGAAAATGTGAAAGTCTAAAACCTTCTAGACAGTCCTAGTCTTAGTTACACTAGTAGCTATCTAGCCAAAAAAAAAATTAAAATGGGCTTACCAATGGGGAAATTGATAACCTCCTGGAGATCAGGAATTAGTAACTTTCTTTCCAATCAAGGTGTCCTTCTCTAGTGTTCCTGAGTATTTCTCAGCATAGTAAGTCCAGCTGCTTTGCTGATGTACTCACTGTTCAAGTATCTTGGAACAAGGATAGTTGCTTGGTTGTTCGCAGTACAATTTGTCCAGATGAAAGTTAGCCAAGTATTTGGCCAGAATGTGAGTGCCAGGTAAATCATTTTTGGGTTTTTGCATATTTATGATAGGTGCAATAGCTAAAAAATTGGATAGGTGATTTCAATTGCCAGATTATTGAGCTATAAAAAGCTAAATTTATTTATTAAATGAACATTGAGGACTCTTCCTTTCTTTTCGTTGTAGACACCAATGAATCAAGCCTCAACCCGATCTCACTGCATTTTCACTATTCATATCTCCAGCAAGGAACCTGGATCTGCAACTATCCGACGCTCCAAATTACACTTAGTAGACCTTGCTGGATCAGAGCGTGTTGCAAAGACTGGAGTTGGAGGTCATTTATTGACAGAAGCCAAATATATCAACCTGTCGTTACATTATTTGGAACAGGTAAAATTGGGATAGAGTGAAATATTTCTCCCTTTACTACATTCCTGGTTAGCAATGTGCAATGTTTTGGAAATCTTGGTTCCAATATTCAGTTAGTCTTAGGATATTGCAGTTTTTTAAAATGTTTGAGTTGATAGCTCTTCATTTGAAATAACATATTTTAATTTAGGAGAAGCTTAACAATTAAACGGTAAGGTTATAGTAGGTATACAGGGTAGTATTTCAAAACCAGTTTTCTTGTTTTATTTGGAATACTAAAGATATTTACAAGATTGCAGCTGTATTTCTGCTAAAAATGTTCTTTGTGATCTTCTCCCCCTTCCACAGCTGGGATTAGGATGTGTCACTCAATAATCGTTGAACTAAAGTGATTGGCTTTTATTTGGTTCAAGCATTGTAATTTGGTAAAATATGAGGCTCTTCCCTCATGTGCTGTTTTATTCCTCTACCAGTGTGAATCATCGATCTCTTTGAGACAGGAGTTACCTTTGTTAATGTATTTATGGAGTAACTACCATAATTGGTTTTATACCAATAGGACTCATAGATGTAACTGCAATAGTAATAAATCTCCACAAATATTTATCATTCACCTGTTGTTACTGAAAAAGGTTTAGCCTGTTGATGTAAGGTATACTAAAATCCCTATCCTCCTTTAACTGTTGCATTTTATTTTTCCTCTTTGGAAAAGGCAAATATTCAGAAAGTAGATTAAGCCTGACTAATCTTACTAAATGCTTTTTTAAGAAGAAACAAAGAATGAGTTTAGATAGCAGTGGTGAATGGAAACTTTGAAAATTAAGCATTCCAGAAGAAAGGTTTGGTTAACCTTTCTAATAAACCTAGAATATTATTATTATTATTTTTTATTATTAGGGGGGTATTATTTTTCCTCCACTGATCTGATGTAATCATTTTCCCTTCATGACTAGAAAAATAAGATGTTGCATCTTAGGATCCTCGTAATTTTTGTGAATATGATAAGTGTGATGGTGAAGGCTGTTCACATTCACTAATATCTTCTTTTCTAGTATCTCTTCTTTTCTTTCCACCAGGTTTATAGTCATTGTCTGTATCCCATAGCATTCCTTCCTTTCAGGTATTTCTTTTCAGCTTAGTATTTGTGGCATTGCTAAAAGACATTTATGCTTATTTATAAAAACTTAGTGCAAATTACATTTGTCTCCTTGATCTGCTGTAATGTTTTGTATTCTAATGCTCTAAAACAACAAGCAAGGGTAAGAAACACTTGGCAATCAATGAAATCTATTTTGTGGATGCTGTGCCATTAACTTACAATCACTGAAGATTTTCAAGTGTGGATTTCGGACCTCACACCTGTAAAAGAAATGAAGCTCTTTCTAAGATTGAATATATAATATTGTTTTCACAGTACAGTAAAGACAGTTCCTGTTGCCAGAAATTTGTTATTTTTTGGAATTCTGTGGGAGAATACAGTATTTCTTCCTAAGTATTCTTTAAAAATTTTTATATACAGCAACAGCAGGTCTGCGAGGCTGTCATTTAGTGGGAGAAATGGGGCGGGGGGAGAGAAGAAAAAAATGCTTAACTCTCAAATTTAGATTTGTCCCTTTTAATTTATACTCCAGTATATGTGTTATTTAGTAAAATTTACAGTTGAGGAAATCCATTAGAACAGAAAATTTTGTGGGTGTCTATATGTGAAATTTCTTTAAAATTGTGATTAGGAAATATAACTGATTGTTCCACTTACTGGGAAGAATATTTTTCATTTTTGTGTTGCGTGTTTTTCTGTTAACAAGAACAAATCTCTTAGATTTCTTTTAATCTACAATCAGAGATATTTCATTGTCAAAAGAAGAAGCTTACGGCACAGCAGGTGGCAGTCAGTCATTTACTATTACACTGAATTTTTTTCATACCCCCCATTTGTTTAAATTTTACCTTGAAGAAAAATGTCTGTATTTTAGTTGTACTCATGGGAAGTGATAAGGGTAAGTGATTCTAAAATGGACCTCTTCAGAATCACACAAATTGTACTCAGGATCCTTCTTATTTACTGTATGATTTTTATGTATTTATAATGCAACATTGCATGAGCTTGTGTAAGGTTAAATTTAATAATCTGTGTAGTGTGTTTTGAGATACTCAGGTTTGAAGTGCTATAGAAGCATATAATATTAGCTTTTTCATGCAACTTTTAAATCCTATTTTAGAATAAATACAGTTGGAGATAAGCACATTGGGTTCTGTCTGGGACTGAGTATCAAAATAAAAATGTTTTCTAATTCTGAATAAAAGATCACTGAAGACAGTAGAAAATATCTTTTCGTTCAGTGGGAATTGGGCCATTCAATCCTGACCTTGCAATGACTAATATTAAAGTACGAGGATTCCTCAAAATCAGCTTATTTACATGCTCAGCTCTTTAGTTATCTACTGGTGGTTTAGTGTTGAGTTATGCCGTTTCTAAACACCTTGCATAATAAAATAGTCATGTAAAATGATTTGTGTCAAGATGTCAAGGGGAACACAGTTCTGTGTTATCACACTTGGTCTACATGTTAAATATCCAAAATGTGTTAAAAAAATCTTTAAATAAATCAAGTGCACTTTTTTTCCAAGTGGTCTATATGTCTAGAGCAAAATGAAGATGAGATAGTGTCGTGCAGCTGATCTACAGTGGCAGTAGGGGCAAATCAATTTTAGTGTCCACAGCAATTTGATGCATAGGTGCTCTTAAAAGTCCCTGCTACCATATCCAGGTAGCTTTTGTTGTCTGTAAGATGTGGTAGCATGTTTGGGAATTACAGCTGTGGTGTTTGTGTGTGTGTGTGTGTGTGTTTGTGATTGCTACCCACACCTACTGAAGTTTTTGCTAATAAAATTTGAAATCACTGCCAGCCATGAAATGCTAGGTTTATTCACATCCTACAGAAAAGGTAATTTTCTGTTTTTGTTGTTTCCTAATTAACATATACAGACATTAGAGTAACAGAAAAACCAGGAACTTTTAAATAATTTAAAGTGAAATACATACATTTGTTTCTGATTAGCAAATCCTGATTTTTTGGTGTGAATTATTTCCAGTAAGATATCTAGTATGTACTGGTGACAAGCACATGTTGTCTAAAAAGTAAGAATGCTTGTAATTAACTTCAAGACACCAGCAGTAGAGTTTGGATTTTTTGCTGTAAGGACCAGAGCTTAAGCTGTGATAAACTCTACTAGACATGGGAGGTGGGATGGGAGTCTTAACTGACAGAAATCTGAAGAGTGGGGAGGTGTGGGCAGGAATCTGGAAGGATTCTGGATATGGATCAAAGGCAATGTCAGAGGTCTTGTGACTGCAGACAGACAGCAGAAAAAAAGGAGACCTCTGGAGCAGGCATATGGCTTCAGAGCATGTGATACACTAAACTGCAAGATATATGTGTAGCTGATGGCTCTGTACCCGCAAGTGATGCACCCCAAAGTCCTCATCTCCTGAGGATGCTCTGAGAACGTATCCTGGCTGCCTGTTGGCATGAGGTACTGGTGCAAACCTATTCCCTGTATGAAGTTACTGCTTGCACAAAGGATGCGGACAGGAACAGGGACCCTTGGGCACATTTTGGATCATATCATAACCACTTGTGAGTCTCAGACCTTGCTTTATGCTTAACAATATTTCCAAATGTTTCAATGAAGTTATTTATGAGTGATTGTACCTACTCTATGCTATTGTTATTCTTACGCAATTTTACAAAAAGTGACAATATTTCTGAGAGCTTCCACGTTTAAAAAATTAATTAGGTCTTAAAGTGTTTGTTTGACCCACTCAAAATGAAACTTTGTCCCTTAAATAAACTATGTTGCTTTCAATCAGCATATTGCAGCCCTGGTTCAGTAATATTGTTAAGGCCTTTTAAGCTTAGACCTACAAGTATTTAAAAAAAAAAAAAAAAACCCCAAACCCCAAACGGTTTTTTATATCAAAAGGATAATAACACTTTCTTTTTGACCATGTGAAAATGAGACAATTTTCTGATTATCTCATTTGTTTGGCTGTTAGAAAACCCAGGTTCAGATCCTGTACAGGTGGTCTCTGTCACTTTGTGACAGAACATAATTTCCCTCTCCTTCAGGTTTTTCCTCTTTCTATTCCAGATTCCTTGACTGGATTGTAAAGATTGATTTAGTGATTTTAGGTGAGGTTTTACTAAAGGGACTTAAAGCCATCATTTTCTGTGTTATGTGACTCTGTCACATGACAGTACAGTGGCTTCTGCATCATGAGAGCTGGTCACATAGCTTCTCAGTGCCAGTGTGGGAGGGTTCAAATTCTACCTGGGCTACAGACTTCCTGCATGAACTTCAGGAAAAATTAACTTCTCTGTAACACAGTTCCCATTTCTAATAGAAAAAACATATCTTCCCTCTGGCTCTTTCCCCATCTCGTCTATTCAGATTGTAGTCTCTGTGTGGCAGAGACTGGGATTCTGCTTATTAATGTATATGCTAGACTACTATGAGGTTTCTATGCAATACTATAAACTAACAGAGATACAACATATTTCCATCTAACAAGTTGTAATATACAAGATTTGAAAACCTTGATCCAGGAATGGGTTTCCAGATTCCTTTAAAGTAGTAATTTCCGTATTATGCATTCATCCCTCTCAGGGCTGCCAGTGTAAGGTTGATAGTAATAAGAAATTTTAACTTTCTGAAGACCTTTAAGAGAAATTAGTGCCAACGAAAAAGTTGCTACTAAATTTTCTAAAATAACAATTTTCTTAAATGCAGCATAAACAAGATATATGCTGGTGTGTAGCATTTATTAAAAGAAAACCAACTCCTAATCATTTAGGACAGCTTGCACAACTTATATAGCTACAGTTTTTCAGTACAGTGCTTTTCCAGTTAACAGTTCAAATCTTTTATATCACAACAGATCGTGGAGTAATCTAGCTTTTTATTTAATGATAATTAGGTCCCACAATGTAAACAGCTAAGAATGAACACTGAGAATAGTAAGTGTACCATTTCCTTTTTGGCCAAGGCATATATATTCTAAATGGAATTATTTCTTTCCAGCAGTACATTGTAATCATGCACCGTTTTATTTGTGGTTTACTTTTCAAGGCATTTTCTCAGAAATAAATGTGTTGACCCCTCTAAGAACCATGTGCTTTGAGAATGTGTAATTTTAAAAGCATGCTTTAGCAAATACTGATTTTTTTACTTGAATACTATCCATGCTTTATTATTATGATAGAAAAAATAGGAGGAAAATTTTCAGTAAGTTCCTGTGTCTTAGGAAAGTCTGTGGTTTTTAGTTTATTGTGTTCAGTTTCCATGTTACTGAGAGGCTGTAAAGCTAGGGTATGATAAAATTAAATTTATTTGGTCTTTCAGATCCAGCTCCTACAAAGACATGTAAACATGCTGAAATTTAAGTTGAAATTATTTCAATAAAATCAGTGGGTTTGCAGCTAACTGGGTGCATGAGCATAGTTTTGTTGTATCAGAAGTTTAGGTTCCTGAGCAGGTTGGCTCTTTTCTCTTTCTGTGTTGATCATTAATAGACATGTAAATTTAAGAGTCTTCTCCATTTTTACGGTTGTTTCAGGTAATAATTGCCCTTGCAGAGAAAAACCGGTCCCACGTTCCTTACCGAAACTCTATGATGACCTCAGTGCTAAGAGACAGCCTGGGAGGAAACTGCATGACTACCATGATAGCAACGCTTTCCATAGACAAAAGAAACATAGATGTATGTTATTTCCATCTATTTGCAACAAAAAAAAATTCACTTCTCTAAAGATCCTGCTCTTTTGGCTTTTATTACAATTTGCAATTCAAGTGTGTATGCTTTTATTCTTATCCTTACAAAAAAATGTTTTAACTTTGTTTCCAGGAGATAATTTTATCAGTGGAAATTGCAATAAGATGCAGACAAATCCTTTAGGAAATGTGCTTTTCTCTAAGTAATCTCAAGTCAAGGAGTGGTTGGGAAACAACTTGCATCTAGTAATGAAAGGTTTTTTTGTGGTTTTTTTTTAAATTTACTGTTTTGCTGATGAATAAATCTTTTGGTTATAAACAGGAATTTCCAAAGAATTTTCCACAGGACATGTTGGTAAGATCTGTTAAGTAGATTATGGATCACACTGAAAGCCTTCGCAGAACTTCTGTAGACTACTTTGGAGTTGAGATTTCATTGAGTCTGGTAGACAACTGGAGAGTTCATTGAGGGGGAGAGAGGGAATTCGGTGGGGCAGTTGGGGATTTTTGGAAATTTTTTGAATACTTTATCTCCCTTCACCAATTTCCTGCACTAGAATTGTGTGTAGTGATGTTTTCTTCTCTTTGTTTACCAAAATATGTTGCAATGTGAATACATAGAACCCAGCTCAAAGCCATTTATAATCTATTTATTTCCTGATTTTCTATAACATCAAAGGGTTCTAATGTGAATAAACAAGAAAAAAAACTATTAAGCTTGTTTTCTGAAATACAGTGGAAAACATTGTACAAAACCTGTACTTCATCTAGTTGAAGACTTTTTTTTCTTTAGAAAATGGACTTTGCTGTTAAATGAAAACAGATTGTTCAGACTTTTAAACACATAATTATGCAAGCATGATGTCTGGTTACAAATGCAACTAGGTAAGTTTGTTAATGAATTTTTTTTTAGGCATGTGGGATATAGGCACCCGTTAGTGTATCAGTTCATCAGGTGTATGCATCTTGCGTTGCAAACTAGGTTTCTATTTTGGGAGTATTTAGCCCAAGTAATTATCCAGAGTAGGCTACTGACAGTTTTCTTGTTCTTGTTTTAACATATACCATTGTCATGAATGCAGGTCTGTGAATCCTGTACCACCACAACCATCTACACAATGCGCGAGTAATATTAAGACAGATGTTAGGTCATACTAAACATTAGAAAACATCACAATTAGGATAGCTGCATAATTTTAATTTGGAATTCTGTGAGTCGTTATGCATAGTTATGTTTGTTTTGCTCTTTTGTTTGCATTTTTCCATTGGATATACATTTCATTCACAAAGACAAGACAGAATTTCTCCCCAGTATGTATTGAAGTTGTATAATAAAAGCAACTTTCTTAAAGACCTAGCTTTGTCTCTTGCAATGAAGGAAATGAAGCAGAGAATTCAAAGTAAGAAAGGGCACTCTCATGAAGAGGCCAAATAGACTATTATCCCAGAGAACTGGATTATATTCCTACTTGTACTGAAAAGTTTGTATACAACTTCTCACATCACCTACATCACGTTTTTTGTGCTAGTTTTGTGGAGTGCTTGAAAGAAGATTTAATTCTGAATTGTAGATATATTAATTATTATAGCTGTAAGTGAAGTTGAATGGAAGCTGTTTTGAACAAAAGATCATATAATAATAATTTTTTTTTTTTTGTACTTTTGACCAGTTTCTCTTGTGTTAAGTATAGTCATTCCACGTACTTGTAACAAAGCAATACCTAGAGAGTTAATTGATTAATTTTTGTGAAGCTCTCAGGTACTGTAAAGATAAGCATGGCAGAAAAAATGATTAGGAAATTAGTAGCTGTCAGCTTTGATTACCATTTTGATGGCATAGAATAAATAGATCATAAGCTTACATATTGAACATTGAAGACTGAATTGATTAGCTACTCATTAATTTAACATATGCTTCACACTGAACAGGGCAAAGAAGTCTGGTGGAAATGTATATATGTGTACTGTACATGTAATTGTACTTAATATATGTATAGAACTTAATTAAAGTCACATTAGCTAATCATCATAGCACAGGAACTGTACAGCAGAGGCAAACAGAGTCCAGCTAAGACTGTGTGCAGTTCTCTTAATTGTAAGGCCTTCCTTTCCTTTCCTTGAAAACTATTCTTTGATTCTGTGTTTATATATTATGTCTTTGGCAATAAACATTACTATCTTTCATCATGGCACCCTAATTCAGATACCACCCCTCCAAGCACTGAAAGAGACAGAAGTCCTGTGGAAAAAGGAGTATATGATCATATGTTTAAATTGGTACTTTCATATGTTGGAGGACTGAAAACTGCAGAATTACTTTGATTCTGAAATACAAGTCTCTAGCAGTAGTAAAGTTCTCTCAACGTAGGAGTTATGTGTAAATTCTTACATTTTAAATGCAGACTGGCACATCTCAGAAAATTTTATCATACAGTTTATCAAGCATCGTTGAAACTTCTACGACTACTGCATGATGTTTTATTCTTTGAGCTAACTGAGAGCAATTGCTGGCTTTCTGTTCATTAGGTAGATAAGCTCTCTAGCAGGGTCTGGCATGTAAGTATCGGCTCATCTCAAAGGATGGAACAATACTTGGGGATCCTCAATTTCATTTTGTGCTGTAGATGGGAGTATGCACTGGCTGTCACAGAGTTTCCTCCACAACCTCAGTCTTGTATCTTCTTCCCCCACCCCCCTTCTTGTCCTCCTGTACATCTTAGGTCATCTGACAGTTTTTTATCTGGTATTATAGTTCTCCTGTATGCCTCCTAGTTCTGTCTCCCAGCTTGTTTCTCATTTGTCCTGGACTTCCACCCTTCCTCCTTCACTCTTTTCCCAGCTTCTTTTACATATGCTTCTCTAGCCCCATTTTCACGAAAAAATTGGTTTTAGTTAATTTTCTCTTTTTCTCATCATTCAAAAGTGTTTACCTTCTGAATAGTATGGCTTGCTTATCCTTTAGTCCCAGCTGGGGTCTCATTTGAAACACAGTTGCTCAGGGGATTGACTAGGTCAACAAAATGCATACTATGATTTGGCAGTTTTATATGTCACCGTCGTTAATATGCTAACCTAATTTCCCTTGAATATTGTTGTTTTGGAATATGAAATGGTAGATCAGTTCTGTAAAATACATAAGACCCAGAAACTTGGTTTGATGACTTCATTAGCAGTCTGTTCTACTTACCTGATGTAAAGCTAACTGAATCTTTTTCTTTTTTCCTCTTTCTTTTTTTTTTTTTTTTTTTTTTTTTTCTCTTTTTTTCCTTTTTCTTTTTTTTTTTTTTTTTTTTTTTCCTGCCAGGAATCTATATCAACCTGCAGATTTGCACAGCGAGTTGCTCTTATTAAGAATGAAGCAGTTCTTAATGAAGAAATTGACCCCAGATTGGTGAGAGTTGACTGGGTGCAGAGGGAAGGAGATTGCTTGTTTTTAGTGTTGGTAATCAATAGCAGTCAAATGGATGTTGAGGATTTTATATTGAATCATCCCATTTAATTGTTTTTGGGTGCAAGTTCCAATTTTTTCAATAACATAACTACTATTTTTATTTTTTTCTTCTGGACATAATTATAATTGAATTAATTTTAAATAAATTAAAAACCCCTAAAGGCTGCACTGAAACAGTTCATGTAATAAAAAGCTAAGAAGCATACATTGGTAAAGCACAAAGCATAGTCGCATAAAGAAAACTGTTTCTTCTTTTAATGTGCATAACAAAAATTTACTTTATTTTTTCTTTTAGTATTTGGTTAGCCTTTCCTTTGAAAGATTTTATATGCCTCTAGCTTGTTACATACCAGATTTGTTTGAAGATGTGCTCTGCAATATAAGTTCTACTGTATTAAGAGGCCTTTGTTAGTTTATTTAATGTAATTTTTCTGCATTACCTGGAAAATGTATTTCTTTTGTAAATATTAAGTACACCTATTAAGGATTGTTTAATTCAACATAGCATTGCAGATAATGATAGCTACTGGATCAGCTGGCTTGCATGCTATATATCAAAGATATTTTCTGATATGGGAAATGTTTGACTGAGGTTACACTGGTCATGCCAAAGCTGTATATATGTATATAATAAAGAAAGAACTATGGATGCATTTCAGCATACCCTCTGTCTCTGTGACAGAGACATCAGATGAAAAATAAGTTCAGGTTAAGCTATTATGTTATTCTGATTATCTATAAACAGACAATATTTAAAACATAGTTTTTAACAACAGAATTATAAATTTGAACTGTAGCTTTTCACCTCTAGAGAATATAAAATCTGAATGAAATATTCTAATTTCAGTGGTCCTGTATGTTTTTATGATATACTAATCACATCATCATTCTTTTTAATGGGCAAAATTATTACTGTATTTCTAAATTTCTCATGACTAATTTGTTACTATAACTTTTATGTATTTTGTTCTCATATGACCTTCTGAACTGGCTAGGAAATGCTTTCCTCTTGGAAGCTAGACTGCAGAATGCTAGATTATATAACATAAGAAGCATTTGTTGTCTAAAAATTGGGGGATTAGATGGTTGATTATTTCATTTATTGTTACTTGATGGTAATTAACATATTTCAGTTACTGTTAATGATAGTGCTTTTATTTCCTCTTGTCCTTGAAGTTCAAATGGAATAGGAGATTCTTGTCAGGTTTTCTGCTGTTTTTCTCTTTTTATTATTTTATACTTTTTTCTTTCCGGATGATTTCTGTCAGTAACAGCATCACAAAAAAAACAGCAGCCAAAAATTAAACAAACAAAAAACCCCAGTAGGCACTGAACAACAACTTAATTTCTGTCTGTCTGTCCTTTTTATTCTTTCCTATGTAGGCTTTATAGTAGCAAATCATGCAAAACTTTTCTTCCATGGCCACAGAAGTCTTTGGTTGAGGCTGAACACATGCAGGCTGCTGAACATTTACTACATCCTGTGGAGCTATACTGCACAAGTTTGGTATGTCTCGCTCTGCAGGATCATTTAGCAAGTAAAGCAAAAGTGGATTTGTGAGAGTTAGAAAACCATCCCCTCTTGTGGAAAAGGCAGGGGAACACAGGTGCCTATACTTTATATGGGTCTGTGCTCATTGTGGAATTTGTCACCCATCTTAACTACCTAAACTATATTCCTAGGGTGCAACATGATTATTCAGTAAAGTGCTGGACTTACGATTATTTCATAAAATCAAATGCCATTTTATTTGCAGTATTTATCATCTGCGAGTTGAATGCATGCTTTTTAAAGGGAGTTCATAATACCTCTTGATAGCCTGAGTTAAGTCTGACTGTTCTATAAACTTTATTCTTCATAATGGAAATTTTCTGACTCTATCTTACTAAGAAGATTAACTTGTATGCATTGTACTTTTTAAGCAAGTCTGCTTTGAACCTCTCTCACTCATAACCAAAGGATTTGGTTTAAACTGAAAATGATACTGTTGAGCCTGAATTAAATCTCATCTCCTCTGGCATTCATTTAAAAGTAAAAATGAAAATATTATGCTTCTGTAGATTTTTGTTTGTCTTAATAATACTTGAAAATCAATCTGTTATCCATATCCTGAAAATTATATTTCTGTTGTCAAATTGAGGTTAATCATGCTAACAAATTTGAACATTGAACAGGGATGGTACTATCAGTTCAGCTTCCTGCCTTTTTATACTCCAGTCCCAAATTTTATTTTATTGACTCACTAATTAGCACAGACTATATCAGAGCGTGGCATCAGAGTGAGGCAGCCTAAAATCAGGTTAAAATGTTTGGCCTGCAATATTCTTGAAACACTCTTGCAACATATGTAATTTACAGTTCACCACCTTGATAGATTCTTAAATAAAATATTGTAGGTTAGCCTTTCATACTTAATAGTAACAAATGTGTTACCATTAAGTTTAGAGTTAAAAGACATAATCATATGTATGTTTAGAATATTTTGATTTTTAAAGTAAAAATACCCATTCAAAGTTTAGGAAGTAATGGTTAGATTTAAACACTAAAATAAATACAAATGTTTCAAGGAATTTTAACATCCAGTGAAAATGTGTCATCAATTTCAACAATCTTTTTTCTAGAAGGTGCGTGCAATCAAGAATGATTCATTTTTCCTTGAAAACATTCTTCTCTTGGAAACTTATTTGGCACATGGAATCAGTGTGCTCATATCCATCTAAAAATATCTTTGGACTCTTGATACATTTGAGCCATTATAAGGCAATGTATCATTAAAATGATCAATCATAAAGTATCGAAGAACTTGCTTATTCATGGTTTGGGTTTAGGGATTTCCATATTGTCCCTGCTTTGTAGAATTTGGCCTTGGGAGGCTAGTGATTTGTAAAATACGGTTTTATACAGACATCTTTTCCAAAAGTACAGGCTCCAATAATGAGCTATTAGAATTTAAAAATCTAGTACAGTTCTCCAAGTCACTTTCTCAATCATTACTATTCATTAATGCAATTTAGTTTCATTATGTTTATTTGTATTATTCACTTGTTGTTAGCAACTGATACATCCTACCATTATAGTATGCTATAATGGAATAGAGTGGAATGTTACATGAAAAAGAAGAAAAGTTAAGATTAAAATACTAAGGTATTGGTCTGGAATTTTTGTTTCTAAAGGGAAGGTTAAAAAAAAGAAGTTTTGGTGTGTAGTTGTCCTTTCTCTGACAAAGACATCAGTTCTATTTTAAATGTGTTTTCATTACTAACAGGCAAAATTAATGAGTCAGAAAGCTCTTTTTATTCCTATGGCAAATTATTCTGCTCTTTTGCAAGTCATCTTTTGAACTCTTTCTGTACAGCCCTGTCTTCTAACACATAGAATTTACTCAGTTTGGAAGACTTTTCTTGTTTTTATAAATGGAAAAGGAAAAAAAGTGCTTGGTGTATTTAAGGCATTTGGACTTTTTAAAAAAAGAGATGTTGTTTAAAAAAGAAAACCAAAGTATAGTATTTCTCTAAACTCAGCCTTCTAATGCAAAAATCATAAACTAGCTATTAATTTGTAGGTGATGCTTGCTTTATGCCTTGCTGTTTGTTTGTAGATGATTGTCCAGCTGAAAAAGGAGATCCAGGAGTTGAAGGATGAGCTGGCGCTGGTGACTGGCAAGCAAAGAACATCAGAGCTTTCACAAGAAGAGCTACTTCAGTAATGGCTTACATTGTTTTCATTTTCTTCTTTTGTGGGGATAGTTTTAATCAGTTTCTTTTTTGGCATAAACATTTTAATTCATCTTAGAGTTTTAAACTCCTCTGAGTGAATAATAAAGTGAAGTTAGGTGCCAGGTTGGAATGGCAGTTTTCCATGAAAAGCTGTATGAGGCTGCTGGCTGTGTTTTTGCAGCCTCAGCTTTGAGGAAGTGAAGTGGAGTAAATGCAAAGGATGGGAATGCCTGTCAGATGCCAGGCAAAAAGAAGAGTTATATAATAGTGCAGAATAAAAAAACAGTCTTTCTCAAAACTGGATATACGATCTGAGTAGAATTCAAGAAATATTCTTTGTGCTGAGAAGTATCCTGCTGCAGTGTTAGTTTGACATAGGCCAAGAGAAATCTTGCATTTCTGATACACAATTAATCAATGTCTTAAAAGCCAAATATTCAGTCTTTTATTGAGCATGCTATTGGATATGCATGCTTAATTCACATAAGTGTTGTAAAAACTTGCAGCTTTTTTTAACAGATCTGTACAGCACGTAAGAACCTTCTATGTATAATGTAGAAGTATTTACTTAGGTCTAAATGTTCACAATAACTAAATTCCATTCCCAGTTTTGAAAAATTAATTGATTCTGTAGGATGGACTTATTTAATCTCTGTGCTTCATCTGTATAAAGAAAGTCATAACTGCCTAGAGATTTTGTTTGGATAGTATATTAATGGTAACTAAGTTGAAGCTGTGAGAATTTTTAGTCCTATTTTAATTTCTTTTGGAAATGGTCCAGAATTGTGCTGACAATTTCCCCTGACATCCAGGAGATTCTGGAGACATGAGGACGAGCTGCTAATTTGAACCTTGAGTTTCTCATGTAGATTGTTGTCATTCTTAATTCTTGGTTTTGATTGTTTTGTTTTGTTTTAATTCAGAAACTAAATGACATCTGTATCAAGGATGAGGTGCTAGATAGCATTATGTATATATATTTTTTTACACCATTAATCTGAGTCATTTTAAACATAGGCAGTTACCAGTATAATCTTCTAACCAGAAATGTCCCCTCCTTTCCTACTGGGTTAATATTTATTTATCCTTCTGCCCAAAAGTATGGGAGTCAAATGCACCAAGAATGTTACAAGGTAGTACTGGATGTGAAAAAATCAAGCCATAGAAAGAAAATTAAAGAAACAACAAGAACAGAGAAGTATCCCTTTTTCTTTGCATGCAAAATTAAATGCCCTTATTAGCTAGTTTCTTCTTAACCTGACAGAACTAGTCCTTCAGAAGGTAAGTGACTCTCAGTGACTTTATTCAGATATACTTAAACAATCTGTATATTTATTTAAAGATGTACTTTCCTAACATTATTGTAAAAATCTATCACATTAATTTTCCACTGTGATCTTGTTTGCTGTTTAATTTGTACAGGGAAACTGGGTTTTTGGAAATCATTTGGGTTTTTTAGGTCACACCCATGAATCTTCCTAAGATTTCCTACCTGGCTCTTTGCCAAGAAAATGGCCGTCTTACAAATGGAAATGGGTTCACAGTTGATGAAAGTTTTTAATATGAATGTGCAAGGGAAAACTAGGAATGTAGCATTTGTATACAGTTCTGTTATAGTGTACATCTAGGAGCCCTTGTTTCAGAAATGCGTGACTAAAAGGTGTATCAGTTTTATATTTTTCCTTTTTGTCTATATAGCACTATATAGTGCGTTACGTTGTCAGAAAAGGTTGCGTCTGAGATCATAGCAAGGAATTTTGCATCCCATTCCTCCAGAAGGAAGCAGGGAGGAGACTTTAATGAGTTTCTACCTGTAATAAGACACAGAAGGAGAAATAACTTTCAAGGATCTCAGCTATATTAGGACAACACAAAATTTTTAAGTTTTTTAAACTTATCATTTATTTATGTTTCCTCAGGCTCATGTAGTACGTGTGTCCATTGTTTCAGAAATAAGTTCTTTCTTGGAACAAATGCTCTGCAATTAAAATACAGAACAAAACTTAAGTACTGCTGAGATACAATACTTTTCCTGAGGATCAATAATAAACAAGGAGGACCTCAAACAGTTAACCTCGTCAGTCATAAATGCTATATAATGGCCTTGTTCAAAGATCATTATTTTTAATATAGACTTAAAATGGAAAAAATAATTGGATATACAGAGTTTTTCATGGGTAGTATAGTTTCAAACAGAGAGCATAAGGTACTGCTGGAGAATAACTGTCATATGAGTCAGACTGGCTTATTAATACTGTATGCTCTAGTTGAATGGAATGTTGAAAGATAAATCAATCTTTTTTTTAAACAGTTCAAGTGGGGGAAAATATCAAATGTCAGGTTTTATGAGTGTTGCATTTGTATGTGTTCTTGCAAGCGGAGTGTTCACAGGTAAACAACGGATGTGGACTAAACACACAAATGAAAGTATAATGAAACAATAGTATAAAAAGCCACTACTTCAATGAAAATATCTTTCTGTGGTTTTGCACACATATACATTTTGAGCTCGCTTTTGTATGGTGATAGTATTTGTGACCATGCTGGTTTACATCTGTCTGAGCCTCCTGTCCATAAATATCCTGAGCATTTATGAAAATCAACACATAGCATCTAAGTGTTCTGTCTCCAGTTAGAGTCTATCAATACATAACACAGCAAATCTTTATGACAATTCTGTTTACTGAGACTGGCCATCTGAGTTTGGAGCTACTCGTTATCTGGAGAGTTTGTTCACATTAAAGAATAAATATACAAGTAGTCCAAACAGAAGTATTGACCTGGATGAGGGCTGATAAAATCGTGATTTACTGTTAGTGGAAAAAGTCTATGTTGCAGTTTGCGTCTAGTTTTGCCTCTGTAATGAAACCTAAATAATATTTTTGATCTGGAGACATATGGATCAGATTGTTATGACAGGCAGAACAGGAAAAGAAATGTGGTATAGGTGATAATGCAGCGTACTGTGTTGCACTTCATTTGTAGTCGCCACCCAAGAATGGCTCTTAGGGGAGTGGTACTGTAGGGGATTCCAGACAGAATAATCTTTTTTTTTTTTTTTTTTTTTTTTTTTTCTTTTACTGATGCTTTTTTAATATGCCCAGAGAGGAAATTATAATTAGGGTCATTATGGAGTTCAAACAGTATGTAGATGTTTCTTCTTAGTCAGGATATCTTCTGTTTAAACTTAAATAAACTGTATCTCAGCATGTATATGTATGTTTGTATATATATATAAATAATCCAAGTTTACATAGGTCTTTTCAAAATTCTTCAACTTTAACAAAAGTCTTACTGTGATTCATTTTATTACAAATAAGGTAATTAACTAGTAAGGAGAAGTGTTACTAAATATAGTCATTAAAACATATGGATGTTTTAATTCTTATTCAGATTCATCATACATATTTTGAGGGAGGTCAGAGCAAAATGAATCTTCTGAAAGCATTCTGTGCCAATTTTTTTAATTTATTCTTTGATTCTGAACACAGATGATCAAAGGTACAAAACACGTTAAAGAAAAACTCCATGCAATAAGTACATATTTGTTACCTCTGCACAAATCTTTATCTCAGGCACTTTTCAGTCAAAGACAGATGCCAAAATGAAACTGGGTCCAGTGGTATATGTGTAGATCCAATAATATTTTTTTAGTCTAATAAAATGGTTATGGTAATGCATAGGGTTTTTGCTCTCTACATATGTTGCAGGAAACAAGTGTTAGTGATTGCCCTGGAAATAAGTATTAATATTATGTTAAAATGATATTTTTTTATGTTTCTTGAGTTACTAAGTCAAGAAATGCCAAACATTTCTTACAATAATGAGCTTCATTCCACTTGTTTACTTTCAGGACATTCCAAATGAAATCAGTAAACTACTCAATGCAGTTAAAATTGCTAGATGTTTGAATTTAGTGTGTAAAAAAGCTGTAGTTCATTCTTCATTGTTTTTTTTCTCACTTAAATCAAAGCACTATCTTCAGGGATTTTTGTATTATTATTGTTCATTTAATGGAAGGGAAAAAAGTCTGTCAAACAGGCTTTCCTCATAACCACTACAATGTCACATTGCCATTCACTAAGTTTAAAACAAAATGGAAAACAAATGGTCTTGAATTTTCTTGTGAATGCTAAATTATAATACAACACAAATTATTGTCCTGTGAATCAGTCCTACAGCTGTCTGGAATTCTTACTTCAGAATTCTGTGTTAAATGGTAAGCATTTACATTACTATGTCATATTTTTTATTTCATTATTTTATTCTTCAAAGTGTTAAACTGACATGAATTCTGATGCTCTCATTTTATTTATTTAAAAAGCACAGTATAAAAAATTCAGCTGGACTACATAAGTGGTTCAGAATGTAGTTCATAAAATGCTTCCAAAATCTGAATTGCTTGCTTTGGATCTTACCATCTACTTCCTCAGCTGTAAAGAAAGGGCTGATTTCTAAATATTTCGTTGCGCTGGAGAATTAGTTTTGGTTTGTTTTTTTTTTTTTGCGGGGGCGGGGGGGAAGGAACACTGGACTATTTTTAAAAGATATAGAAAATAACATACATCCCAAATAGAAGGAAACTGTACTCTCACAGGCTTCTGTATTATGCTTTAGAATAGAATTAAATGAGATTCAAATTTTTTTTCCTTTTTGTGAGAAGCATGCCAAAAGTAAAAGGGAGAGTCCTTTTTGCTTGAACCATTTGGGATTTTTTTATTTATTTATTTTTTGATTATAAATGAGCTCACTAGCAATTTACAATGTGTGCCCAGAAAGTCGGGATTTCAAATCAAGGTCCTGTGTTCCAGAGCACCCACGCTTCCAGAGCCTTTGCCAGTTGGAATTCTCTAGGAACAGGACCGGAAGTACTGGCTTAGCACTTTAATTTATTAATAACTTTACCTTATTTCTTTCAGATAGATATGTTATTACAGACGCTTCTATTTTTTACTTCAACAGTCATACATTGTTCATCTTACTCAG